GAAAGAGAAAGAATCCCAAGGAGGCACCACACTATCAGCATGGAGTCTGACGCAGGGCTCAAACCCCAAACCGTGAGATCATGACCGGGGCCAAAATCAAGAGTCAGATGCTTAACCAACTAAGCTACCCATGTGCCCCTGGACTACATAAAAATTTAACTTCTGTGCAGCAAATGATACCATCAAGAAAATGAAAAGACAACTCACAGAATGTAAGAAAATATTTGCAAATCATATATCTGGTAAGAGATTTATATCTAGAATATAAACGAACTCCTAGAATTCCACAATAGAAAGACAAACCAATTAAAAACTGAGTATGAGTAAAGGATCTGAATAGACTTTTCTCCAAAGAAGATAAAAACAAATGACTAATAAGCACATGAAAAGATTAGCCATTAGGGAAATGCAAATCAAAACTACAGTGAATTGCAGCTTCAAACCCACTAGGATCCTAACATTAAAAAAAAAAAAAAAAAAATCATAACAAGTGCCGACAAGAATGTGGAGAAACTGGAACCCTCATGAATTGCTGGTGGGAATGTAAAATGGTGCTGACATTTTGGAAGACAGCTTGGCAGTTCCTCAAAATGTTAAACATGGGGCATCGTATGACCCAGAAATTCTACTCCTAGGTATATGCCCAAGAGAAATAAAAACATATGTCCACACAAAAATTAGTACGCTTATGTTCATAGAAGCATTGTTCTAACAGCCCCCAAAGGAAACCTAAATGACAATCAACTGAATAAATAAAATGTGGTATATCCATTTTATATATTCACAGAAATTAAGTACCAATACAAGCTACCACATGGATGTGCCCTGAAAACTTGCTATGTCACCAAAAAAAAAAAAAAAAAAAAAAAAAAGAAAGAAAGAAAAGAAAAGAAAAAGAAAGAAAAAAAGTGATGAAAATGTTCTAAAACTAAATTGTGGTAATGTTTATACAGTTCTGTGAATATACTAAAACCAGTGAATTGTATATTTTAAATGGGTGAACTGTTTGGAATATTAATTATATCTCCATAGAGCTGTGTTTTTACAGGCAGTATATTTCACTGTTAAATTTAAAAGCTTAAAAACAAAATCTTAAATAGCAGTTAAGACTGAAGTTGGGGCCCTGAGTGGCTCAGTCAGTTAAGCATCAACTTGATCTGAGCTCTAGTCTTGATCTCAGGGTCGCTGGCCATGAAGCCTACTTTAAAAAAAAAAAAAAAAGACTGAATGTTAATTGCTGGTATCCAAAGAGCAAAATTAGAAAATGACTTCTCCTGAATGTTATATGAAACTGATATTATATGAAATGATATGAAAGAAGACTAGAAATATAGAGATGGGATTTGAAATAAGAAAATGTGGAGCTACTGTTCATGAGTGATTTCTGATCAATATTTTAGTATTAGCAGTACAGAGCAGGAATCAATATCATTTTAAAAGCAAAACAGGCCCTAATATCTTATGAGCCTCTTTCCTCATCTGCAAATTAGGACTTGCAGCTAATGAAATAATTTTTAAGATAAAGACAGAGAAGAAAGAGATGGCTGCTTTCCCAAAAGAATTTGCTGGGCAACAGCCTCTATATGTGCAGATATGCTTGGGCCTTTCAGAATACAATGAAAAAGGAGAGGCACTCTCCCTTATGGTATATGGAAATTGACTACCATTGCATTCACTGTTCAAGATTAAAATAAGGATAAATATAAAATGAAAAAGTCAAGCTACTCTGGCTTCGCAAACCAAAAGGAGTAAGACTGGAAGAATAATTTGGTATCACAGAAGGGAAAGAAAGTAAGTCATGATTCACAAGTAATAGTTGGCAAAGGAAAAAGTCTGGTTAGGCAATGTAGCTAAATGGATTTTTGTGAAGAGCAGGAACTGTAGGGATGGCTATAATCTTATACCTTATTATCTTATATCTGCTACCAATTCACTGTTATTGTCTGTTCCTTAGTTCCTCTTCAGTTACAAAACCTAATTCAGGAACAGGTAAGAATCTGGTGCTTTAGAAATACTACTTCAAAAGATGTAAGAAATAGAAAGGACTACAACGAGGGGAAGAGGCATATGAGATTAACAGTTGAGGGTAGAGTTCAGGAAGAGAGCCTGCTGCCTTAAATATATTTAATGACTGCGATGGAAAAGGAGAGGAGGTAATAATGATGGAGGTGCATCCAGGGTAAGGCATGGGCTCTGAAACATCAAGTCTGTGCATGCTGCTGCCTGTAAATGGGATAAGGGGAAAAAATGAGATCATCCTCTATGAATATGGACAGGAACAATGTAGACTAAAGACAAAGACAGTGGGTATTAGTACTTGATTTACAGAATGTCAAGTGATTGAATGTTTGCGGATGATAGTAAGATTTAGGGTTATCTGCCAAAGACAGGATGAGGCCAAAAATGAAGAGCCCCTACTAATGATCCAGGGAGTCCGGAAAAGCAACTAAAACTGGTAAGCTAGTGCCTTAACTCTCAAACCCCCCCTTTTTTTTTTAATGTTTTATTTATTTTTGAGAGAAAGAGAGAAAGAGCGTGAGCAGGGGAGGAGCAGAGAAAGGAGACACAGACTCTGAAGCAGTCTCTAGGCTCTGAGCCATCAGTACAGAGCCTGATGCGGGGCTCGAACCCACCAACCACGAGATCACGACTTAAGCTGGAGTCGGATGCCCAACCAACTGAGCCATCCAGGAGCCCCTCAAACCCTTTTTTTTTTTTAAACCATGTCCCCTTTGGGCAAAAGATCCCTTCATCCACCTACCCCCACAAAACCCCACTTACCAGTGGAAAAATAATTCAGTAATAATAATAAAGCGAATTTTAGGGAGAAAAGGTAATGTATTTTAATCCTAATGCATATATCCTGAATCAATACACTAGAAAGTTACAGGCCAAAATTTGGCTGAACAAATATGCATTATGATTCAGTAGAGAATTAACATAATAAATCACAACAAACTATACTGACAACACTAAATTAAAGTCACTTATCATATAAACCAAGGACAGCAATTGAAAACCACAACCAACTCAAGACAATATTAATGGTGTTCTGATAAAGAACCCTTCTTTAAAACTCTAGCAATCCCAGATGCTCCAGTGGGAACTTTGCTTGGCTCAGTAGCCAAATATCTTAGTTAAATACTGAAACAGCATCCTCAATAACTCCAGTAACATTTTGTGTTATAAAAACCAAATATTAATAATCGATAGTAACACACTTAGAATACTGATAAGCAGTCTGCAGTTTTTATAAAAGTAAAGATAATGAAATAAGGATCATTCACCCTTAAGAGCTCAAGAAAATGGGAAAAGAAAGCAGTATGATGGTCATGATCCCAATGCAATGAAGGACAAAGGCAAACTACTAAAGATGGTCATGACCAGAGATGGCAGAGAGAAGCAGGCTACCATTGTGCCCTGGAGAAGAAAGATGTGCAGGTGGAGATGAGGAGTAGAGTCTCCAGCCTGCCCCTCCTTCAAACACTCTTTCATGGGGCGCCTGGGTGGCGCAGTCGGTTAAGCGTCCGACTTCAGCCAGGTCACGATCTCGCGGTTCGTGAGTTCGAGCCCCGCGTCAGGCTCTGGGCTGATGGCTCGGAGCCTGGAGCCTGTTTCCGATTCTGTGTCTCCCTCTCTCTCTGCCCCTCCCCCGTTCATGCTCTGTCTCTCTCTGTCCCAAAAATAAATAAAAAAAAGTTAAAAAAAAAAAAAAAAAAAACAAAACACTCTTTCATGAGACAACTCTCCCTATGAAAAAAAAACAAAACAAAACAAAAAAACAACAAGCAGTGAGTAATAACTGCTTTGAAGGGAGAAGTAGTGCCCCAAGACTGTGCAAGGTGGGTAGAATTATCTGTCTACTGACTGCATGAAGATCAGCAGGTACAACAGGAAGGATGAAGATGAGTAAGTTCCAGGGCACTAGTAAACTGAGGGGAAAGGGAAAGGTGGTTGGAAATTGGATCTGGTGAATAATTAACAGGAAGTATAGATATACGATAATCACCAATTGAGACATTACAAAAAAGGTTAAGAATGCAGACCCTGGATCCAGAGAGCCTGAGTAGGAATCACTACTCCCCTACTTTATTTTCTCTGTGACCATGAGCAAGTCACTTAACCTCTCTGTGCCTCATCTGTAAAATGAGGATAATAACAGTACCTAATAGGATTGTTCTGCAGTTTGAATAAGTTTCACTTGTAAATTGCTGAATACAATTTCTTGCACTGTACATAGTAAGTGGTACCTAAGTTTTGTTAAATACACTAAGCTGAGGTAGGTGGAGTTTGTTTTGACATTTACAAATAGAATGGGGGTGAGAGGGCAAAGTAATGGTATGGGGGGGTGGGCAGAAGGGGTGACAACTTTTTCTCAGCGATGAGACTACCTTGAGGCTGCACCTTTGGAAGAGGTCGTCTTACTAACAGGGTTCAACAAGTACCCGCTACCCAGAGAGGGGCGCGGGTTGAGGGAAACTTCCTTCCAGGCCTAAGATTTTCAGAAACTCATTTCTGAGAAGTGGTTGTGATTTTATGGAGGCAAGAGTGTAATTTCCCATCATCAGACTGTGAGTGAATTTCTGTTTTGTCCGTAGAGCAGGACTTATGTCTAGGACAGGATGGGGTCTGAGTCGGAGAGGAAGGGTGATGTCCCCAGGGGGAAGATCTGCTAAAAGCCACCATCTGCCGGGCGCGCTCTAGTCGCCCAGCTCGGAGCCGGCCTCGGAGGCAGAACCAAGGCTGCCCCAGCCTGGAGGAAGGCAAGAGGAGCCTCCGGAGTAACTGGGCTGTGGGCGTCGGCGGTCGAGCAGGGACCCCATGTCCAGGCTGTGGAGGGAGACCCGCCTTGCCCAGGGTGGAGGTCGCTCGCCGGGATCCCCGAAACGGGGGGCTGGCGCTGGCCCTGCGGACGGCCGGCCAAACACACAGCCCCGAAGGAGCCTGGCCCCCGTCCAGCCCGTATCCGCCCGTCGGTGGCCCCGGTCCCCGGGGGGTACCTGAGGGTGGGCCCGATGCAGGCCGTGTCGGTGCTCTCGATCTCTCGCAGGATCCGCTCGTGCTCCGCCGCTGTCTCCAGGCTCTCCGCCTCCGCCATCTTACCCCTCTCCATAGATTGGGGGCGCCAGGCAGTGCGTCCCCTCCTTCAGCCCCGCTCACCTTTCGTTCCCTCTCTCACCCTAGGCTCCAGAACCTCCCCGGCCTCCGGCTACCCGCAGGACGACCCCTCCCTCGGGCTCGGCACGCCCCCTTGCATCACCGCGTCCGCCGACGTCCGACGCAATGCCCGCTGGGACTTGTAGTTCACCAGGCAACGACCGCCTGAACCCCGCTCATTTATTCTTTGAATCCACAAATACGTGTTGAAAGCCCCACTATAAGCCAGGAACAGTTAAAGATACCGCATGTGCAATGGTGATCAAGTTAGGAAATGACACTGATTCTACAGCTTCTTCTTTAAGGCCCTTGCTACAAAGTGCACAAGGCTCTGGACACTCAAATAATAAAAGACAAAATGGGTTTCCGCAGGCAGCGATCTTACAAGCTTTAAAAGGGGGTGGGAGGGGGGTTGGAGAATCCCCAAACTAAGATAAGATAGAATGTGGCTGTAAGCCAGTTAAGCTTACTCGTGTAAATCGAGTTCAGGGCTACTTCTGGCTGTGAAGGATTCATAGAAAGGTTGGGTCTGGTAGTTTAAAAGTTGTGACTAGAAGGTGTTAGGAGTGCCCAGAAAGCCAACAAAAACTTCACATGCACTGGCGTGTAGAGAAGCAGTAGTAAAAGATGGGGTTGCAAATGCACCCTGAAGAGAAATACTGGGCTGAGAAATTGTGTACCTTACTCTGATGGTTACACTTGGTCAAACAACCAACTGCATCTGGAACACTTGTAAACTTTTTTTTTTTTAATACAGACTAAAGGTGTAAACCCTCTGAACATCCTGATCCAGGGATTTGCATTCCATAAATTACCCAGGTTAGAATTTTAAAATCATATTTATTGATCACTGTTTCAGTTTTTACGTAAGACAATGAATGAGAATCCACCGGAGGTCTTAAAGAAGAGTGACACAATCAGAACCTTGACTTTAGGAAATGTGATCAAGAGCAATTGTGCAACATGAGCAGAGACAAAACTTGGAGGGGCACCTGGGCGACTCAGTCAGTTAAGTGCCAGACTCCTGATTTGGGCTCAGGTCATGGTCTCATGGCTGGTGGGATCCAGCCCGGTGTTAGGCTCTAAGCTGACAGCACAGAGCCTGCTTGGGATTCTCTCCCCCTCCCCTTCTCTCTCTTTCTCTCTCTCTCAAATCAAATAAACTTAAAAAAAGATAAATTTTAAAAAATAAAAAATAAAATTTAAAAAAATGGGAATGCAAGCTGGTGCAGCCCCTCTGGAAAACAGTATGGAGGTTCCTCAAAAAAATAAAAATAGAACTACCCTACGACCCAGCAATTACACTACTAGACATTTATCCAAGGGATACAGGTGTGCTGTTTCGAAGGGATACTTGCACCCCAATGTTTATAGCAGCACTATTAACAACAGCCAAAATATGGAAAGAGCCCAAATGTCCATCGATGGATGAATGGATAAAGAAGATGTGGCACATATATACAATGGAGTATTACTCTGCAATCAAAAAAAAATGAAATCTTGCCATGTGCAACTACGTGGCTAGAACTGGAGGGTATTATGCTAAGTGAAATTAGAGAAAGACAAAAATCATATGACTTCACTCATATGAGGACTTTAAGAAACAAAACAGATGAACACAAGGGAAGGGAAACAAAAATAATATAAAAACAGGGAGGGGGACAAAACAGAAAAGACTCTTAAATATGGAGAACAAACAGAGGGTTGCTGGAAGGGTTGTGGGAGGGGGGATGGGCTAAATGGGTAAGGGCCACTAAGGAATCTACTCCTGAAATCATTGTTGCACTATATGCTAACAAATTTGGATGTAAATTTTAAAAAATAAAAAATAAAATTAAAAAAGAAAAGAAAATTTGGAGACAGCTGAATTCTATAAGAATTTTAAGGCCTAATCCAGGGAGGTAGCAGTGAGAATGTAAGAGAATAAATGGAAAAAAGTAGAACTGGCATGACTTACTAGATATGGGGATAGAGGACCGTGGGTATCTCTCCACAGTTCGGAGCAAAGTGACTGGAAGAATTGTTTGCCATCAACAACAAAAAAAAAGGCATGCAAGAACCAAACTGGAAGTTGAGGCCAAATCATTTCTGCTCCACACATGCACCCGATGTTTATAGCAGTGCTTTCAACAATAGCCAAATTATGGAAAGAGCTCAAATGTCCATTGACTGATGAAGGATAAAGAAGATGCACACACATACACACAATGGAATATTACTTGGCAATCAAAAAGAATGAAGTCTTGCCATTTGCAATGATGTGGATGGAGCTAGAGTGTATTATGCTAAGCTAAGTGTATTAGAGAAGGACAAGTATCATATGATTTCACTCATATGCGGAATTTAAGAAACAAAACACATGAACATAGGGGAAGGGAAGTTAAAATAAGATAAAACAGAGAGGGAAGTAAACCATAAGAGCCTCTTAAATACAGAGAACAAACTGAGGGTTGCTGGAGGGGAGGTGGTTGAGGGGATGGGTTAAATTGGTGATGGGCATTATGGAAGCCACTTGTTGGGATGAGCACTGGGTGTTACATGCAGGTGATGAATCACTGGTTTCTACCGAAACCAATACTACACTGCATGTTAACTAAGTTGAATTTAAATAACTTATTAAAACATAAAGAAAACTTAACTATTATCTGACATAAAAAATAAAAAAAAATAAAAAATAAACAAAAATAAATCATTTCTGCTCCAGCCATATGCCATGAATTATTTATTATGCAATCATTAGAGAGAAAAAGAAAACACTCTGTATTCTGTATAGATACGAAACTATCTCCAAATTGTCGGGTTGAGCAAAGCATGTCGGGAAAAAGCAAAGCATGAAACAGTATATAGAATATGTTTGCTATTTTTTGAGAAGAATAAATATTTATATATATGCTTACATATATACATGAAATATGACATAGAATATCCCTGAAAAGATACACAAGAAACTGTTAACAGTAGTGGTAGCCAGGAGAGGGATAGGAAGGAAGGGGGCTGAAGTAACAGAAAGATCATTTTTAATTATGTATGCACTCTTGGATTGGAATTCTTTCCTTTGTGCATATATTGCTTTTTTTCAGTAAAAATGGTAGTTATTAACTGAAAACGCATTTTAAAAATAAACAAATACTGGGGCGCCTGGGTGGCGCAGTCGGTTGAGCGTCCGACTTCAGCCAGGTCACGATCTCGCAGTCCGTGAGTTCGAGCCCCGCGTCGGGCTCTGGGCTGATGGCTCAGAGCCTGGAGCCTGTTTCAGATTCTGTGTCTCCCTCTCTCTCTGCCCCTCCCCCGTTCATGCTCTGTCTCTCTCTGTCCCAAAAATAAATAAACGTTGAAAAAAAAATTATAAAAATAAACAAATAGTGAGGAGAATGAGTTACAAGTCCTGGTGTTTGCCAAGAAATGAGCAAGTTGCCAAACCTGTCTGTTTCTAGATAATCTCTGGCTGTCCTCATTTTATTTAATTACTCATGCTTAAACAACCCCAGACAGATGTAGGAGGGGCAGGGAAAGTATGGAGCCTTTCATATTTCTAAAGATCCCTTAAAATACATGACAGACGGTCCCTTCAGCATTTTAGCATCTCGCTCAGCAAAAAACTTTTTGTCCATCACAGGAAGAAGACTGGTATGCAGACCGGATATGTATAGTAGTGATTAAACTAGCTTCTGCTACTGTCAGCAGCTTTTTTGAGGCCCCACTGAATCCAGAGATCTCATATGTTACCAACAAGGGTGTCTGGAGTGAGGGGTGCACAAAAGCTCCAGTGAAGACAGCCTGCCTGATCTGAATGCCTGCTAAATAGAGAGAATGTCAGGTCAGCATGGAATGACCAAAAAAGCACTCAACTAAGACTCGGGGGGCCTTTAATTCAGTTCCAGCACTGGTAGTTAAAAATGTATTCAGCACTTTCTGTGCACCAGTCTCAATACACAAAGTAATCACTTCACATACATCATTAAATTCTTACAGTAATCCTCTGCAGTAGATATCATGTATCCCATTTTACAGATGAGAAAGCTGAGAGATTAGGTAATACCTCAAGTCTCACAGCTAGTAAATGCTGAAACTGGTATTCATACTTAAGTGCACCTGATTCCAAGGCCCATTTCCTGACCATTTGGCCATGCCATCTCACCCATACCCTCCACTGCCACGAGTTTATGAGTGACCTTACTCAAATCATTCAAAGTCTCTCTGCATCTGCATCCACATCAGTATAATGAATCGTATAATTTCTCAGCCCCCTTCCAAATCACCTTGAAGACCTCTTCACAGAGCTACCTTCAGGGAAATGCAAATCAACCGTTACATGGTTTGTCTGAGAGTTTTTTTCAGATTGTCACAAATCAGCAAACCGTTTCTAATAAATGTACTGAAAAACATCCGCACATAAGTGGACCTGCACAGTTCAAACTCATGTTGTTCCCGAGACAACTGTATGAATACATGACCCCACATTGTTTCTGTCATACTGTGTGATCTGAAGCAGTGGCAATACTAACAGCTACCATTCATTAAATACCTGCCGGATTCCGGGGGGGGGGGGGGGGTGCCTGGGTGGCTCAGTTGGTTAAGCATCTGGCTCTTGATCTTGGCTCAGGTCATGATCTCACAGGTTGTGGGTTCGAGCCCCACACTGGGCTCTGAGCTGACAGCACGGAGCCTGCTTGGAATTCTGTCTCCCTCTCTCTCAAAATAACTAAATAAACTTTAAAAAAAAAAAAAAACACTTGCTAGGTTCTAGGAACATGATATGATTTCTCTCATTCACTCCTCACAGTCATCCTGCTGTGAGACAAAAATTGCCGTCTCCATTTTAATGTTTTTTTATTTCTTTTTGAAGGAGAGAGAGAGACAGAGCACGAGCGGGGCAGGAGCAGAGACAGAGGGAGACACAGAATTCAAAGTAGCCCAGGCTCTATGCTGTCAGCACAGAGCCCGACATGGGGCTCG